AACCCTCGCGTAGAAACCAAGAAACGATTTCTCATAGTGCTTCACGGATGCAACGGTTTTTCTCGAACAACACGCAACATGCTCACTGCAGAGTAACAAAGGGGGGGGGGGGGGGGGGAGCACACGTTGGGGGTTCAGTGGTTGTGTCGCTTTGTGCGGACGGGAGTACCATCTGGTGTGCCCTGGTGCGGGGACAGAACCGTGCACACCTCTCGCGGGCACGCTCAGCCTTTCGATCGAGACACAGGAGACATGGTGGCCACGTTTGTCCCAGACAAAAAATCCTCCGGGACACTCACACGACCTCCCCTAAGAACGCCAAGAGCCCCCCGGCAAAAGGTTACCACCGGTAGGAGCTTGACCAAACAAGGGGACACCCAGTCTCACCTGCCACGATCCCTGGGCGAATCAGGCCGATCTCGTTCCCGCACGACACCCCTACCGCCAGGCAAACTACCACCACCGCCACCGACGCCGTGCCCATTGCCGCGATAAGGACCCCCGCGATCACCACCGACACCGCGGTCCCCGCCGCCCATGGAGGGCCGGTGAGAGTCGCCCGGTCCCCCGGCCCGATACCCGTCGCGCTTCCAAGCATTGCGCCCGTCCGCGTCTCGCTCTTGCAAGTCTACCACGGAAGGCCGCCGGCCGCCGGAGCTCTCACGGCCGTTCTGATTGCTGCCTCCTTGCGTCGAAACCTCCGAGTCGCCGCCGGCCGGCTCGTTCCTCGCGAGGAGGCCCTCGCCCAGGCCTAAGCGGGGGTGCGGCCGCGGCCGGTCACTCTCGCGCTCTGCCGGAGGACCCCCGTTAACCGCTCGGCCACCGCCGCCGCCATTTGTGACTCCCCGTCTAGAAGGGCTCAGCTGTCGGCTTGTGTTCCCACCGGAGGAAGAATCACCCCCGACCACTCTGGGAGGGGGGCGGTCCATCGTAGGCGTGAGTCCGGCGAGAGTGCCTAACCCGGACCCGCCGGCCATCTTGCCGCCGCCACCACCGCTGCCGCTGCTGCTGCCGTTGCTGCTGTGCCGAGAGGGTGAAAGAGGAGTAGGAGCACCGTTGTTCTCTTGCACGGGAGCAGCCACGGCCGTCGACGGACCAGCGGGGTGCGGAGATTTCGACCCGTCCGACGAGGTCTTCTTGCCTGGCGCCGACGCGAACGCGGTAGAGGGGGCGGCAGTGGAAGCAGCAGCTGCTGCTGCTGCTGCTGCTGAAGGGCTGCCCCCGTCGCCGCCCCTGTCGTCACCGCCACTACCGCCGCCCGCAGTCGACTCCGGCGGCCGGGCGTTCTCGCGTCCACTAATGTTCTGCTGCTGCTTAGATGACTGCTGCTGCTGCTGTTGCGGCTGGTCCCTCTTGCTCCCGTCTTCGCTGGGGGTTTGGCTGCCTCCGCCACGCCGGTGGTGGTCGCTGGCGTGGTTCTCAGCTTGGTCCCGCCGCTCCGGGGACAGTCTCTGCCGCTGATCTACGTTGTTTACCTGCTTGTCGGTTATGGGACGCACAGAGAGTCAAGTTGGGGTAGGCAGAAGGCGACACGTTAGTCGTTTCCTAGAGAAGAGGCGGCAGAGTCGAACACACTTACCTGTAACCGGAGCGTTGGCATGAACCTCACAAAACAACAACAACAACAACAACAACGAGGACGAGAAAGTGCAGCAATACAAGCAGCAGCATCAGCGTCGTCTCTCTTGCAGGAAAAACAAGCCGTTCTTCCTCCGTTGCTTAAAAGAAAACCCTGACACGAAACACCCGGGAAGAGCGGCGGAACCAACCTGCTTCTGCTTCCTCCCGTCTTGCAACGACGCCCCCTCCTGCAGCTGCCGCTGACGCTGGCGAGAAGAGTGCGCTCGAACGAGATCTGCGCGAGTCGGCGGCGCCGCGGTTGGCCCCGCCCCGCCCCCCCCGCCTCCCCGAGACCCCACGGGGCTCCGGCTGTCCCGACCGGGCGTGGAAGAAGAGCGAGACGAGAGCTTCGAAGGGGCGACCCCCGTCGCGCCCTCACCGCTGCTGTTGCCCAACGCCATCGAAAACGTCCCGAATCCGGAGCCGTGAACCACCGGCGGCTGGCCGTTCGGCGGGGAGGCCCCCTGCCGTCGGCCGTTCGAGGCGCTGCTCCGCCAATCCCGCTCGCGCCCGAACTGGTCCCGTCCCGGGGGGGAAGGCGGTGCCTTGCTGCTGCCGCTGCCTCCTCCTGACCGATCGAATCGTCCACCGCCGCCGGTGCCGCCGTTGCCTCTACTCAAGCTGTCAGCCCGCCGCCCGCTGATCGCGGCTCCTAGAGCCCTGCCGGCGTTCCGCACGTCCCTCGCCTGATCGGCATAGCCCCCGCCGCCGCCGCCCCTTCTGTCCACCCCGCCGCCGCCCGCAACGGAACCTCGACCGGACCCGCCAGGAGGGAGCCCACTCGCGAGGCTCGCGTAATCCTTTCCCGCGGAGACGGCGGCGGGCATCGGCCTGGCGACGGCCCCGTTGGCGTGAAGGGAGGACGGGGACGACATGAACCGGCCTCGCCCGGGGACCGATCCGGGGTTTCGCAACGGGAAGGCATTGTTGTTGACGCCGCCGCCCGAGGGGGAAGACATGGAGGCCATCGACGCGTAGTCCTTCCCGCCGCCGCCGCCGCCGACGCCAACGCCGCCGACGCCACCGACACCCATGCCGCCGCCCCCGACACCGCCGCCACCCATGGCCATCATCCCCATCGGCCCCATGCCCATCGGCATCCCCATGCCCATGCCCATGCCCATGCCCATCCCCATGCCCATGAGACCGTTGCCGCCGCTGCCGCCGCCGCCACCTAGACCGCCGCCGTGCTTGCCACCGACAAAGTGCGTACCCCCGAAGGCGACCCCCCCGGCGCCGCGCGTGTGGCGGGAGCTGCTGTGGGTGGAGCCGCGACGACGACTGCTTCCTCGCGATCCGGAGCTACTGCTGTTGGACGGCCGGGTGGGGGGCGGGACGGGGGGGTTGTCTAAGGTGGCACACGTATTACTACATCAATCGCACAGAGGGGCGTGGAGTATCCAGCATCATCTGCTTGAGGCTTCCTGCCAGTTTCCAGAGAAAAAAAGAGGAGCAACATGGTTCGACGCTTAATACAGCAGCGGTTATGTACACACGTGTTTTAACACCGGATCGCGAAAGAAAAAGATCAGAGCGGGAGAGAGAGAGATGAACCTGACGTCTGCAGGACTCGTCGGAGACACAGCTGAAATCTTGCAACGTATCGTTTCCGGCTATGTACGTGTGTGAAACCACGCTCGGGCACTCTTGTGGACAAAGATCTCCGTATGTGCGTATCGTTTCCGGCTATGTACGTGTGTGAAACCACGCTCGGGCACTCGTGTGGACAAAGATCTCCATATGTGCGTATTCCGCGAGGGCTCGACGGATAAACGGCCGTCTCGAGGAACCGGGAACACACGCCTTCACCACTAGAAATATACCTGAAAATTGGATTTTGTCGGACACCTTTCGGCTAGGAAGCCATCCCTGCACCATCATGGGTCAAGCATGTTGACGACAGGACAAAAAAATCACCAAGCTCTTCGGAAGCACGGCTTACTGCTGTGCCCATCTGAGGGCAAGAAATACAAGTATCTTGGCTGCATACCACTACTGTAGTGCGGGAACCGCGACATCCTGAACTAGACAAATACATACCCAACGATTCTCCTGAACAAAAGAAAGAGTGCCAAAGAAGGAAATCGTTTACCGCAACAGTAGATAGGGGGCGTCTTGCCTTCAAAATGGCAAGAATGAGCCGGCCGTCTTTCTCGGCCTTCCTGAACCCATAAACCTCTCGGAACGACCCGCAAAACGTTACGGTCAATCATCGACCTCACGCAGGAGCGTGGCGTGCTTTAAACGAGGGCCGAAAACAGATGTGGTTTTCTACGATTACAATTTGCGGGACAGGGTGTGTCATTTCTCTAGGTTGTCCACAAAAACCGTTAAAAAACACGTCACCCCCTGGCCACAACCAGAAAAGGCCTATAGCGCGGTCCCGACGACACCAATGCCCCACCGCAGGGTATGGATGTAGTTAACAGCCCGCTATAGTTTATGCGGGTGCCCGCTATAAGTGCGAGAATAATTGGCTGGCACGGATGGAATAATCAAGACGTTAATACTTCTGCAATGAACCCGGACAAAGAAAAATATTATCAGATGGATCCTACCAAAGAGGGGAGGAGTCTGAAATGGGGTTTTAATGGAGTTGATAGAAGTGGGCATTTATATCAGAGGATGTCTGCGTGCGTGTAGGAGAGGAGGCCTGCGTGCCGAGATAAGACACCTGCTCGCAGGACATTCCTACTGCGCCCCATCACGTTGAAGCATCAGCACTGCTAGGAGGAGTACAGGGATTGCTAGACGTATTAGTGGACAACACTGCCAGCTGCTACCTGTTAGGACATTCTGTTTCGGGAAGCTTGTGTTGGTCGTCTTTGCACCTGGTCCGAAAACATGCCCACCTGTCGCACGTACAACTCCATGTCCTTGACGAGGAACTTCAGGATGATGACCCAGCCAGACTGCTCCTGGATGGCAACGTAATTCTCGGAAAATTACGTTGCCAATCCAGGAGCAGCTCCGCCGGGTCATCATCCTAAAGTTCCTCGTCAAGGACATGGAGTTGTACGTGCGACAGGTGGGCATGTTTTCGGACCAGGTGCATTGCACGAGGCGCGTATTCTCAGATCGGTGCCGTTGGCGGTGCCGTGGCGGTGTTGGTAGAATTGATGGCGCGCCATCTCTCTTTGCCTGAAGACGCCCCTCTGTGCTCCTTTCGCTGTGGCAGGAGCAATACGGCTAAGGCTTGGGGATATTCCAAGGCTCTTGGAGTCCTTCGATGTTGCTGAATGTCAATGGTAGTGGATGTCAATGGTGGTGAATGTTACAGGTAGAGTACCATTGGGGGTCTCGGTATCCTGAGACCGCATTTTGTCAGGCCCGACCAGTTGACATGGAAGGGAAACTTGGATTCTGGATGAGAGAGGGAAGCGACCGGTGTCGCCCCCTCGGTATTTGCCACTGAGTTCCTTCCAGACTCTGTGGAAAATAACAATCAAAACGACACTTCGGGAAAACACAATAGAGCGGGCCTCACTGCGCTTTGAAAAGGTGAGCACAGAGAGCGGTTGCAACAACAACAGAACACAAAACTGACAATTCCGCAACAACCAAAATCAGCAACGCCAACAGAAGACCCAGCACCGTCTTACGACGACCACACCCAACACCCCCAACAACCACCACAACCATCAACACCCAGGCGTCTATCCGTACTGGCCTATCTAGAGCACGTACCACTGCATACACAAAGCCAGGTTCTACCGTATGCACACTGCACTGACCTGGAGCTAGAATCGGACGAAGAGCTGGAGTCCGATCGGCTACTTGCTCGTCTCCGCCTACGTCGTCTCCTTCTCCTCGCGCGCTCCCTGTTCCATTGCATTCAGTAGCATTCAGCCATCAACCACGATGGAGTTCCGATCAAACATGGCATTATGGTTTCGGGTAAGGGGGAACGGGCAGCAGTCTGGTTTCGGGAGTATGTCGGTCTGTTGGGAACACGGGATCTCGGCTTCAGACGGAACTACCTTTTAGCATCTTCCTTCGACGTCTTTCGGTTCGACATCCAATTCTCGCCGATGATGCATGATTGTTGAGCCTCGACATACGCAGCTAACATCGATCCGGGGATAGGGGGATGTGTGTGTGCAGCATACGAAGCAAGGTACGACGCCGGTCTTACGTTCGTTTGCGTCGTAGACATCACTCCAAGGTCAAGAATCTGGTTTGAAACGAGCTGCCGGGGAAAGGGAAAAAAAAAACGGCCAGGACCGCCTACCGAGAGAGCTAGAACATTCGATATTTCCTCGCATTTCGTCGCCGTGCACATCGCGAAGAGAGTGAGCACTGGCTGCCAGCGGCGACTCTACTGCAGTCGGTATCTCCGAAAAGTACGGAGATAGGTCAAGCTAAGGGGAGAGGGGAGAGTTGTGGCGCGACGAAACGCAAGCAGTTTCGCCGCATCTCCGGAGAGCAAGATAATAGTATCACCGACGAGCTGGGTCCAAGCCTTGGTAGAGGTGGCCGCCAAACGAGTCTTGTCTTGCCGCATCTCCGGAGAACAACGTCATCTACACAGCTACTGTGCCGTCCGCACTCTGCCGGCTAAATAGACTTTCCAGGCAACAGAATGCGAGCATGTTGTGGATCTAGACAAGATAAAAAACAAGATCTACACACTCTACTAGTCTCATTTGCACGAGGAAATGATACTCCCACAGGACTGCAGAGCAGATGTGCTCTAACCTCTCATTGGCTGCTGCTGCACTGCTGCCAAATCGCACATGACGGGAAAACTTCCGCGCAAACGGACGACTAACGCGGCAAAGCTCGACAATGACACCTTCCCCAAGCTCTCACCTGCTGCTGCGAGTGCTCCGACTCCTGCTTCGCCCGCTGCTGCTAGAGGCGCTGCTAGGCGGGCTTCGAGACCTGCTCCTGCTCCTCGACCGCCGCCTGCTGACAAAAAAACAACAAAAGAGAGGGATGGGTTTACGGACGGAGTGCGAAATCAAGAGACAAAGCGATTGAGAGTCGACTTCGGACCGGGAAACGAACGAAAGCAAGCGTGTCTTAAGACGAACGCTACACATAAATAGAAACGTTCAGTCGGTTTCAATCCACTTACTGAAAACACTTCACCACATCCCTTTCGACTGAGGTTATATCTCGACCGGGTAGTCTTTCCGTGAGGTTGTGTTTACTTTCTAAAAAAAGTTCACGAGAAACCAAAAATTGTTTTCGACCAGGTCGGAAGTCAAACGTTGAGAGCCCGAGATCGGCGGAGACAAGGGCACGAGACCGGCATGAAGTGACTACAGAACAGCCGAGAGACGATTTTTGTTGACAGGAAACGACAGTGTATCGTGATTGCACCAACAAAAGAAAATTACGACGGGGTGGACACGCGTCTTTTGTCTGGGTCCTCCAATCGAGTGCTCTCGCCTTGACATATCTAAAATAGTCTCAAAACTCTGCTGTCGACTCAAAAGAACGCCGGAACCATTCCGGGCTGAACGACGGATACCTCATATTTGAAACGGTTGTTCAATGTGAGGGCCGGGTGGAGGGAGGGAAACCATGAAATGGGCGTTTCCGGGTTGGAATGGTCGAGCAGGCGGTCTATTCCGCGGGGGGTTGGACCTGGTGACTACGAACAAACTCCTGTGTGCTGACAACCTTGACCGCGTTGCAAGAGCGTGGAGGCCAGAGGGATTTATGCGCCGTCTTTAACCTCGTCGATTCTTGTGAGCATCAACCACGAGTCGGATCGAAACATGGAAAAAAAAATCCAAACACGAGACGGATTCACGGTACCACCAGGGAGAGTTCCTCAACTCTCTTGAATTCTAGCTGCACCTCCTTGTTATCTAGAGAACAGGGCTCAACACAATGTAGGCACACCGATACCTCTTGGAGGCGACGGAGGCGTGAACCATGGGCGACCTACAACGACGGTCTGATTTAGCATCACGAGTCTCGGGTTGGACGTGATTTTCTTCTTGCGAAACGTCTAGTTAGCCAATAGCAGGAAAGGGCCCTCAACTTAAACCCAAAATACAACGTGTTGACCACTACATCTCCAGTCCCCTCTTGCGAGCTTACGCAATAGTTGAACATAACATTCATCACAGGAGAGACGACAAAGGGACTGTTTGAATAAATCTCGAACAAGCCTGTCCAAAATCTCCCCATTTGCCAGAGACGTTCATGTTGCGTAGGGGTTGAGGAAGTCAGCATGCTGATGTTCCGACGCCACGTGGATGATCTCTACCTCCTTCTGATCTACGAGCTGCCTGAGGAAGTGGTGCGCAACGTCGATGTGCTCGACATCAAGAGTTGAGGCAGAGAGAGAAAATCGACGTACCAGTCTCGAATGACGATTTCTTGAAGAGCAGATCAATCAAGGTGGCGTTGCGTGTGTTCACGAGTGCCTTCGAAGCGTGGCTTGACAATACAGGACAAGCACATACGACCAGGGTCCAGAGATCCCTGCAGGCGGAGTTCTTGTGGATTTGGACTGGTTCCGGAGCTCGTTCGGAGAGGAGAGAGTTAAGCATTCGAGAAAGATAAGATTTGGACGTTTATTGCTTGCAAAGATCACAGCACAACCTGTGCAAGCGCAGATTTTGGCCTCAGAATCGCCGCAAGCAGGGTACAACGTCTTTCTCCAGATATACCCGAGTAAGAGTCAGGAGCGCGAGAACCTTGTCGATGAGTGGAATGTGCTGAGTCAGAGGCAGGGAGAGAGTCTAATGAACTATGTCGGAATGGCCGTTGCCTTGTGGATGAGATTGAGACAGTATGAGGAAGATAGTGATGATGCATAAATGTGCAAGGTTGCACCACCTATCGCACGAGTCGATGAAACGGGCGTTGGCGTTGGCCGCGGCCGGGTTCGGAGGCACCCTCAAAGGGCGTTCAGGCGTCAACTTTGGGTTTGGGGTTACACATCTCACGCTGTTCTGCCTGGCCGAGCATGCGGGGGATCGCCTCCATCGGGGGGCTTGTCCACGCTCTCTGATGCGGGACGCTTCTCTTCGGTAAACTTGATTTTTTCT